CCTTAGAGCCTCGATTTTCCGAACTGTCGCGTTCTCAAGGGTACTCGGGTGTTTCCTCAGCGTCGTGTTGGGTATCCAGCTGAGGTGGAGGGTCGGCACGCCCGTTGGCTTGTCGATCCGACAAGTGACGGTCATGTATCCCGGGTGGTGTATCACCTCGCACTGCTGGCGCAACAAACTCGGCGGATGGACGCACACGTTGTTCTTGCAGAACAGGGTCTCGCCGTCCTGGTACATGGCGCGCAACGTGTCCCGGCAGCTCTCGCCCAATATGTAACTGCTCGCCTTCTTTATGATGCTCGGCAGTGGCATCACGCAGAAACTCAGCTCGCACCGGGACTCCCGCGTCAACAGAGCCGACGATGACGACGATGGCTTTTTCACGCTCGCGCTGCCGACGTTGCTCGCCATTCTCGTTTTCTATTAGCTCCTGCGAGCCATCGCATGACTATATACATATATATATATACATAACGATCTACAAAGTTTTCTTTCTTTTATTCTTACTGTTTTCTTTTTTAAGGGTGATTCAAGTAAGATAATTTATATATATATATATCTACATTGTACACGTCTTGATGTTTCAGGCGACATTATATAAAGAAAATCGTGTGTTACCTGTTACTATATACTCGTTCAACAATTGGAAGTCGATTGGCAAAGTTGGGTAGACGATTGCATTTTTGGGCCTTTTTTGTGTTTTTCCACGATGAACGCGTGATTACCATTCGAATCGGCGCTCCGGTTGCTATTATTGTTATCACGGCCTCGACGACACGAGACGATGACGATCGAGTAACTGCAGCTAATATGTACTTAGAGTTACTTGCATTCTAATGAATGCAGTAGTTAAAAAAAAATTATATTCTTATGATATATCAAACGCCCAGAGAAGCCTGTACTTTTTTATATGTATTTAGGTAATTGTAAACGTATAATGTAATTATTTAGTGCGTTTTCGAAGTATTTACATAATTAGTGATTTTTTGAATACTATAAAACATTTTCTTTATTTTCTTTATTTAGGTACCTATAGTGTGATTTTTTTGTCTTTTTTTGTTCTAATGTGCTTTTATTATAAATTCTTCGATATTAACTAGTGCCGAGTTCACGATCGATAACTCAATTAGTAGAAATATTTTGATTCGAGTTGTATTACGTCTTGATAAAACTAAATAAAATCGAATAAAAAAAGGGCAGTATTATACAAAATATATATATGTTTTGTCGGCAACGCCAAATAACCACACAGTATAATCATTCTCGATGATTCACGTAAAAAGATAAAAATAAGATAAAATAAAGATAAAAAAGTATAAATAATAATTGTACAAAACACACAGTCTCTGCAATTCGATGATTCCTTATATATTTTTTCATACATTTTACGTCCGCAGTCCATCGGAATGATGCTTACACATACTAATCGATGATCTGAATACAAATACCAACGTACACGCACACACACGTATATATACATCTAAAAATAACCGATTCACTCGAGGCCGAGTCTCCCGTAGTTCTCAGCCCGGGGGCACTTGTCGTCCAAATGGCCGACGCACTCGACCACCGGGTCGTGAGTATTGTCCCACATACCGGGTCCACACTGCCGGCACAAGCCGGCTAAAGTACAAGGTAGTCGCTCCAGTTGGCGAAACTGGTGCAGCAATCCCCGAGCTTTGCGCAATATCAGCGTACCGTCCATGTACATGGCCAGCGAACTAAAGTGCAGCAGCATCTCGTCGGTGCGCAAATCCTGGGCTATGACGTCGTCGGCGTAGACGCACATGATGGCCAGACAGAGGAACAGGTGGAAATGGTCCGTCAAGTAATTGACCCAACAGGCCTCCCACATTTGTAGCGTTGTCTCCATGGGAAACTCTCGCTTCAGACAACTGATGCCGTAAACAAACCAAATCACAATCATCGTCGTGATATGTAATGTTATATCGTTGCGGTATATGCATTCGCAAATGATCAAGGACTCACAGGAGTATCCACCGATGGCAAAAGAGGAGCTCGAGCGCGTCGGCGTGCCTCTCGAGGTGCGCGTAGAAGCTCGGCAGCATGATCCTCAGGAGTTCCCTCAGGTAGCAGAGGTTGCGATCCATGTCCAGGTCCGTTGGCGTGCAAACGGCCACCGATCTTTGCATGAGGCCCGCGAAGCACCAAAATGCCTCCTGCTCGTCGTCCAGCTCGGCAAGCAGCGGAGACAGGAGATCCGACATACCTTGCGTGTAGCCCAACCGCGCGTTGTACACCGCGTAGTTCAGCAAGATGTTCCTCAAAGGGAAAAATAAAAAGTTAATAGGTACGTATTATATTTATATTTGTGTATAGGAGTTCTGTTGTACCAGTAAAAGACTCACTTCATGACCTCGATGTTGGGGTTGTTCTCGCCTGCGTAGTACGGGTTGGCCCGGTCCGTCCTCACGACGTCCTTCTCGACGATTGCGACGACGCTCCGCCAAAACCTGTCTGCCTCCTCGGGCGTCATGGTCTCCCTGCGGTTGCGTATCTCCTGGTACTCCTGTCTCCGAATCGCGTCTATCTGCTCGCGGTCGTCGTACGAGCTCTGGTACGAGTAGCAGTGCAACAGGAACGGCCAGACGATCTTGCGGAGCGCGGGCTCGAGTCCACCAAAGAAGACGCCCTTGCGCAGCGTCAAGTCGTCCTCGACCTGGCCCCGCTCGTTCAGCAAGTCCTTCCAGACCAGCGACGTGATCATCGGCACTTGGCCCTCCTCCGGGTGTAGCTCGTCCCGCCCGACCTCCGGTCGACAGACCATAAAGTGCCTGCAACACGCAACGATCGGTATTAGATAAAACGAATGCATGGCAATGTACGTAAGGATGGTGGGTCATCAGCATGTACCGATAGGGCAGCAAGTTGTCCTCCGAGCGATCGACGCTGAGGCCGGGATTGAGGAGCTGGTGCCACTGATGGAGGGTAGCGGCGAGCCGATCGAGGCCGCCGTGGTGAAAGTGCAGGATTTTGTACTGGCTCTCGCGACTGGCCACCACCAGCTGGCCGGAGGTGCACTCGGTATCGGAAAAGAAGAGCCGCAGGGAGCGCATCTGTCCGAGATCGACGGAGAAACGCCGGCACCGGTGGGCCCGGCGCACCGCTACCGGGGATGCGCTCGCGCTCTCCGGAAAGGTCAGGTTGTGCTGCAGCGCCAGCAGTTCCGGCGTTCGCATCCACGTCGGGATCTCCTCTGCGGGAATGACGCGACATTTATTGGTCACTCCAATCGTCCGATTTCATCCCAATATCAAAATAATATGTATGAGATACGCTCACCGTCGTTCGTAAAGGTAATCGACAGACTGCACATGGAGGTGAGCGACATGCTACGGCTCTTGACGCTCGTCGTGTCGTCCTGCGATGGCTTGACGCTTATTGCACTACCGTTCCCGGGCAGTCCGTTCGAGTCCGTCGAGTCGGACCTCGCGTGGTGCATCAACCTCCTGCTAGTCTCGCTGTTACCGTTCGCTATCCCCGGGGCCATTCCGAGGACACTCGCGTCGGCACCGCTCTCCGGCTGACTGGTCACCGGGGCGTCCTCGACCCCGGCTTCCGGGGGTGGTTTGGCGACGTGGTCGGGACTCGTCGAGCGGATGAGCATCGATGGTAAATTGTGGGCGACACCGCCCGAACAGACGCGCTCGCAGTCCTTGCAGTTGATCGGCTCCTTCGCCTCCTGGCAGCCGTCTATAATCTTGTCGTCCAGCATATTTCCTTTGGCTTTAAATACATGTACGCCAAAGTTGGCGTGTGCATTTATTACGCGATGATAAGGAAAAAAGTTAGGAAAAGTAACATACAACCTTGCACCTACCAGGTTCCTCGTTGTGCGGCTCGTCGCTGTTCTCCCTGAGGGGTGCCTCGATTTTCCGAACTGTCGCGTTCTCAAGGGTACTCGGGTGTTTCCTCAGCGTCGTGTTGGGTATCCAGCTGAGGTGGAGGGTCGGCACGCCCGTTGGCTTGTCGATCCGACAAGTGACGGTCATGTATCCCGGGTGGTGTATCACCTCGCACTGCTGGCGCAACAAACTCGGCGGATGGACGCACACGTTGTTCTTGCAGAACAGGGTCTCGCCGTCCTGGTACATGGCGCGCAACGTGTCCCGGCAGCTCTCGCCCAATATGTAACTGCTCGCCTTCTTTATGATGCTCGGCAGTGGCATCACGCAGAAACTCAGCTCGCACCGGGACTCCCGCGTCAACAGAGCCGACGATGACGACGATGGCTTTTTCACGCTCGCGCTGCCGACGTTGCTCGCCATTCTCGTTTTCTATTAGCTCCTGCGAGCCATCGCATGACTATATACATATATATATATACATAACGATCTACAAAGTTTTCTTTCTTTTATTCTTACTGTTTTCTTTTTTAAGGGTGATTCAAGTAAGATAATTTATATATATATATATCTACATTGTACACGTCTTGATGTTTCAGGCGACATTATATAAAGAAAATCGTGTGTTACCTGTTACTATATACTCGTTCAACAATTGGAAGTCGATTGGCAAAGTTGGGTAGACGATTGCATTTTTGGGCCTTTTTTGTGTTTTTCCACGATGAACGCGTGATTACCATTCGAATCGGCGCTCCGGTTGCTATTATTGTTATCACGGCCTCGACGACACGAGACGATGACGATCGAGTAACTGCAGCTAATACTCATCGCTGAAAGTTATAAATCAGCCGATTGATTACATGCAAACACGAACGCCGATTGCGCTAACGTTTTCTTTTATATTGTTGTATACACACACACACATACACATATATATATATATATATATGAATGTAAGAGGGAGCGAGAGAGAGAAATCACGGAAATTAACGATCGAACTGTATTTAGTTATAGAGGCTGAAGCTGCAGATTGCGAAAATCGGCAATTATGTGTGACAAAGTGACGCGCACGCTGTTATTTCCCATGTAACTTGCACTCTGACACTCGAACGCGCTGCTTGATGAATAACACTTTATTCGACCATGTCACGTTGTCGTTTGATTTGCCGATTTTTTTTTTCTTTCGAATCGTTGTGTAAAAACTACACTGGCATGGTGATAATATCTCGTGCTTAAATGAAGGAACAAAACAAACATTTGATTAATATTTCCTCCTTTTTGTAAGATAACAATGAGTCTGACTCGATTGAAAAAAAAAAAAACTTCCTCATGGGCAAAGGTAACGTTTTTTTTCTTCTCTACAGTGTGTATATCTCTAAACCGTATGGTTAGCCATGAAAAACGAAAGGAGAGGGGAAAAAAAGGAACAAGTACACCCGCCAACAACTTCTTATCTTAATTAGCCTAAATCCATAAGCTTAAGCTTACGCTTCTTGAATGCAGTATACCTGAAAACCAACACTCCAAGTTGCAGGTGAGCGCATATATGTATATTATAAACACAGCAGGTGTGTGCATAAGTACGTATCACTTCTGATTTTTGCAAGTGCACGCGACCGAGTCTACTTTAATTTTCTGAATGTATATACATGTAGTGTACACGAGGTTTATCGTATCCGGTGAGTTTCCGGCTCTCACACATATAGTAATAATAATCACCTTCCACAAACACTTTTCATCGTGTGTGTATAAACTATATGATACCGATTTTAGGGATTCGAAGCGTATATATATGTGCAGGGATTCGGTCCATTAGATTGGATATTCATTCGGATACATCGGATGGCACACCCGTGAAGTCGACCCACTTTGGTAAAACTCACCAGGGAAATCGGCGGAAACAAAATTATTCTCCGTTCTTCCAGGATTCCGTGCAAATTATCTATGAACGACTTTTTTACACGGCTCGGTGACTTTTTTTTTCTCTCTCTCTATCTGTACATGTGCTTTTTTGCTATAGTTGTTTATACATATCACACATATAGCGTAGCGTAGCACGTGCGCGTAGTACATTCATACGTAACTAGATTTAAAGGTAGAAATAATAAACAACTTTATTTATGCGCTAAAATTTACTTTTTTTTTTTTTTTTTTTTTTTTTACTGCGATTCACGCCTATTTGATTGGCTAACTTCGCTGTTTGTGTGATCAAATAAATTTTGAGTATCGGATGGCGATACAATTTTCAACGTTTCCGATATTTGAACGAATTCAATATGAAACAAACATTTTCGCTGTTTTTCCGAAAATGTGTATAGAAGTACCCTTGCACTTCCTCAATGTACGTAAGATTGAGATAAGAGATTTCAATGTAAATCCTAGCAGGATTAGCTGCGTTAGATGTACTTTTGATTATTGTAGTATATATTTTTAACGCTTAACGATTTTTAGACCAATTATTATTAAATCCAGAATAACGATTTATAACGATGTATCTTGTACACAATTATTATCAAACAAATTACGGTTTTAACTCACCAATCCTTTGACATGGCATTATTGAATTTCTTATAAGAGCACACGTCAGCTGATGTGATAATGATGTGAAATTAAAATTTAACGCGACGGTGGCTTCATTTCTCTCTCGATGAGTTCACAAGGATGTTCATAATTACGAAAATTATTTAAAAAGTTCAATACATCCGTTTACTTTTTAAATAATTATGTACAAAAATTAAAATTTAATTGCATTTGCAAATCTCGTCAATTTTTTGATTAAGAAAAAAAAAATCATAATCCTCAAAATTTTTGAATCCTACTTTGAGATTTTATTATTGATGCCGAAAAAAAAGTTGGCAAGACAAGAACAAGAGACAAAAAAAATTGGATTGAATCACCCATGCACCTGAGATCTGAGACTCGTGCTTCCATCCTCTTGGTTTCGTTCCAAAACACCTTCAACACCCCGGTCGGCACCAGACATTATCACGACCAAAATCATCTTTTGTAAGAAACTTGTGTAAATTTTTTTTTCTCTCACGCGCATAATACCTTACATCAGCAACAACAACAATAATAACAATAGTTTAGACGCAATAAGGTGGTATACACAGTTATTCCATTCTGGAGCACAGCGGAGAGAGAATCAATATCGTCGCGGACACTGGAGCGCGCTAAACCACCCGCGTCCGCTGCTCTCTGCACGACTAAGTTCTCTCTCGTGATGTTGTACGTAGGTATACTTTACTACCTATATACCAAGCCTGTCTATCGGATACTCCCTCGCTCGCGCGTACACGCGTCCCACTTTACTCCCTGTGTAATATATACCTATGCTGTACCTATACATTGTAGTACACAAAGTGGGTTTTGCCACCGCCCGCTTCTTTTATTGATCCACTTCTCCTCCAGCAGTGAAACGTCACAGATATATGCGTCGTTCATACAGTATGAATGCTCTGTGAACGCGGGGGTGAAATTCGAGAGCTTTGCGAGCACGCTCTAGTAAGCTTTTTTGCCTATATTTTTTTCTCCTTTTTATTACCCAAATTTATTGATTACCGTAATGATTTATGCTAATGCCGCTCATATACTCAACTGATAAATCAAAAAGAATTTTGAGAGTTGGATAACAAAAAAAATTAATTCTTAGGAAGGCGCGCCAAGAGCGGCGATTCGAATTTAGCGCGAATATCGTTAATGAAAACATTCAATTGTATGAAAAAACAACTTATTACATTTATTGGTCCGTCGAATTCGACAATTTGTACAAAAATACTAACTTGATTGTTCGTTGCTATCGTTAATGTACTTTGATCGACAATAAATAACACGTAAAATAATGAAGGAACACATTACGATTATATACAAATCCTCTCGAACAACTATTCAATCGGAAATCATTTCCATAAAAATTTTGTGATCGTTGGCCAGAGCAAGTCCAGCTTTTGGCCCTCTCTTAACGTAAGTCAATGTGGAATACGTCGAAAAGTGAAAATCTTCCTGCAGATATCCATTTATGAATAAATGTCCAACGATCGCTTCGCCGACCTCTCGCGGAAACTTTGGCGTGGGAACACTGTCCACCCTCAGATTAGTTGGTCCTTTGTTGTACCAGGAGTCTATGAGTTTGAGAGGCGTCAGTCGCTGATCGCTAGACGCTGCCTTGGCTATTATCTGATACATATATCGGCAGTAGGGTGCAACGTCCAGCGTTTTCTTTTCTTTCGGTTTTTTGCAGTGATCGCACATCTCCTTGCAATCAGCTTTCGTCCAAGTTTCCTCAAAGTGCGTAGCTATTAGACTCCGCCTGCAGGAGCTCTGATCGAGACAGTAGCCGAGCATTTTGTAGAGATTCTGCAGGCCCACCTTATCTTGGAACACCATGGTGCTGAGCTTGAACACATCCATCAGACGGTAGAGAACAATACAGACTGATGTTTTGCCGTCCCGACCGGCCCTGCCGCTCTCTTGGTAAAAATTCTCCATGGATTTCGAGAGGCAGTGGTGGATAACGAAACGTACGTCTGGTTTGTCGATACCCAAGCCGAATGCTATGGTTGCCACCACAGCTTGGTAATCTCCGGATATCCACTTTGAGTACACCTTAGTGCGGTAGTCCGCTTCTAGCATGGCGTGGTAGCAGCCGACTTTCAGTCCCTGGGCTCTCAAGTCCGTGGTCAACTGTTCTGATTCTTTGATTGTTGTTGTGTAAATAATACCAGATTTTCCGTTGAACCTGCAAGAATATACTAGTTAATTTTCAACATATCAGTGACATAGAACACTGAAAAGCAAATTTTGTTGATCAACAAACCTATGTTTCAAAAGATTGGAGATCATTTGGAGGCAAGTGTCTTTGTCATTGGGTTTGCGACGTACTTCGTAGAAGAGATTGGGTCTGTTGAAAGATGCTCTGAGCACAAGGCAACCTTGAATTTCCAACATTTTTTGGACATCGACAATGATTTTTGCAGGAGCTGTGGCTGTAAGGCCTAAGATAGGAATACCGGGAAACATGGAATTCAAAATGCCTAAAAACTTATAATCTGGCCTGAAATCATGACCCCACTGGCTGCAGCAATGAACTTCGTCAATGGCAAATCTATCCAACCTTTTCATTTCAAAAGCTTTTTGTAACTTACTCCTGAATCTGTTTGATTTGGCCATGTATTCAGGAGTCACGTACACCAGTTTCAGATCAGACTTGTTATCAACTAATCCCGTCATCACAGCTTTAACGTCCTCCTTTGGAGCTTTCGCGCTCAACATCTTTGCATTCACCTTAAGCTTATGCAAACCGTGAAGCTGATCTTCCATCAGAGCTACCAGAGGAGATACCACAATCGTGACTCCCTTACTTATCACAGCTGGAAGCTGGTAGCACAAACTTTTGCCACCACCAGTTGGCATCACAAGAATCACATCTTGGTTTGACAAGTATGCATTCATCGTTGGCAGCTGCAAGGGTCTGAGTTCTTTGATTTTAAATACGTCAGTCAGCGCCTTCTTGAGATTCTTTGACCAGGAAAAATCTTCGGTATCCCAGTTTTTCTTTGCCAAGTTGAGACTTTTTTGAAGTAACGCATCGTCCTTTAATTTTTGCTTGCGATCGAGAAGAACTTTTTTCCTATCTTCTAGTTTTTGTTGCTCAGTTTCTATTTGCCTCAACTCGTAGTCGATAGCTGCTATCTCGTCTTCTTTAGTGACTGTCAAAACAAAAATAAACTTTAATGAATCTTTTTTTTTTTTTCTAATAAACGATCACTCGTCGCTAAGAAAACTTATGAGTCTTTCAAGCCGAAACGATGATAATTGAAAAATATACCTTGATAATCCCCGCTATCGACGTCTATCACTTCCTTAGAACCTCCGGCATACATGTTATCTTGGGTTACCACACATTTACACTAAAAAAATAACTTTTTTCGTTATAAAACTGTAAAAATATTATAACGGACGTCCCTGTTTACGTTTACCTCACTTGCGTGCAGAGGTTAGAGAAACGTTGGTGTCTGTCGTCTGCAAAACGCATATGATCCGTCAAAAAAATATAACGCTGCAGCAGCGGATACTTATCGGCGTATTTCGGACTTTGTTCCCGAAGTAAGCACTTTTTTAAAAAACGACGAGTTTTTCATTTGTTTGTTAATTATGAGACATGTGTATTTTTATGTTTACTTTTGAGGTTAATATTTAGTAAAATGTTTAAGACTCTGTCCCTTTATCCGCCGTTACTAAAACGCGGATTAGCTACTATTTCCCGTAATGGTATAATGATCTCCTTCATCTTTTCGTTATCTATAAACAATACGTGTTTTTTTTTCTTTACTAAAAAGTTGATATTAGTGTTTAGCTCAACAGTATAGTTTATTTTTTGTTTTCTTTGCAGCAAAACACATTCCATTTACCAGAGCTTTCCACAGTAGTTCTGTTTCTGTTGATCACAACAAAATGAAGGTCCAAGTAATACCTGCACTACAAGACAATTACATGTATCTCGTAAGTCTCTTGATGTTTTTCATTGAATTTTTTCTGCTTGAAGTAATCAGTATTTATGTCACACATAGATCATTGATGAGGATACCAGAGAAGCAGCAGCTGTTGATCCCGTACATCCAAGCGAAATCCTTAGAGCTGTTAAAGAGAGCGATTGCAAATTGACAAAAGTTTTGACTACTCACCATCATTGGGATCACGCAGGTGGAAATAAACAAATATGCTGTGAAGTTCCTGGCTTGCAAGTTTTTGGGGGAGATGACAGGATTGACTCATTGACGTGTAAAGTTGAGCATGGAAGTGTGATTAATATGGGATCTCTGAAGATCGAGTGTTTGTTTACACCCTGTCACACTCTTGGACATATTTGCTACTTTGTTACAAAGAATGGAACGCAGCCTGCTGTTTTTACTGGTATTGGCTTAACAATGTCAATTTTTGTATATAACAACCAAGTAACTATATTTATCAATTGTTTTATTGTTAAGGTGATACTTTGTTCAGTGCTGGATGTGGTAGATTTTTTGAGGGAACTGCTAAACAAATGCATACAGCTCTCAACGGAATTTTGGCTCAACTTCCAGATGAAACAGTAAACTATTTAATTATTTCTCAAACTAGCCCATTAAGTTGAGTTTCTATAAATCTTTATTTTACAGAAAGTGTATTGTGGTCATGAATACACCGTTGACAATCTTAAATTCGCTCTGACAGTAGAGCCAAAAAATAATGCTACAAAGGAAAAATTCGAGTGGGCTTGTTGCAGAAGACAGAATAATCTCCCAACGGTGCCTAGTTCGATTAGCGAAGAAAAATTATTCAATCCATTTATGAGAGTTTGTGAGCCAGAAATCAAGGAGTACACCGAAAAATGTGATCCGGTTGAAGTTATGGGTTGCTTGAGATCCAGAAAGGATGTCTTCAAAGCTTGAAAACGTTCGTAAATTTATGTATGCAAGATTTCTTTTATACCGTGCATGAACATTCCAGCAGAAATCAAGGTATGACATCCTCTGAAATATTTGTATATTACAACAGTTATTGTCAAAAGGTAAAGTCTAAATAGTCAGACTTTAATAAATATAAATTTATTCATCTTCAAACAATACATTTTTAATTTACCTAATAATTCTGGTAACAAATAAGTGATTCTGAATTATAAATTTTAGATGAAATCTTTACAAGAACATTTTACTTTTGCTATCAACTTTATCTCTTTCTCTATATTCCAAAGATAAAGAAACTAGCAATAGAGTTACAGTACAAAAGTATAACTATATTCGTTGTGCATGACCGTGAATCTAAATATATTTGCGCGTAGAAAAGCTTACATGCACACAAGGTTAAAGAGCGCGTAGTGTGTGTGTGTGTGTGTGTGTGTGTTGACTTGCGGGCGATAAGCTCGTGTGCTTGTGCGGCAAATTTTTTCATCGCATTGCAAATAAGGTTGGCGTCGTGTGATACCTATTATTTCGTGTTGATAGATCGCTGTCGTCGCTTTTGCCTCTTGGTGAGATCGACATTTTGCTCCGGGATTTCCTCAAGCAAGTGTTGGAAAACATTTTGTTTTTTTTATTTACGTGTATATTTTTAATTACTAGCAAAATTTCATCCAGTCTTTCGTGAAACAGAAAACAAATTTAATTTAAAAAATGAGTGGCAGTACAGTGAAGTTTGATCCAACAGGTAGGGAATGTACTTCCTGGTTCTCTAATGTATAAATTTTATTGTTATTTTAAGTAAAAAGTAATGCGCAAACTGACACTTTTAAACTAGAACATCAGCATTTGAGGTTTAATCCTTTAAAGGGCGAATGGGTGTTGGTCTCACCTCACAGAATGAAACGACCTTGGGGAGGACAAGTGGAGCCGAGCAATGATGAAGAACAACCTGACTACGATCCCACGAATCCACTTTGTCCCGGAAATACTCGCGCAAATGGAGCAGTAAATTTTTAATATTTTAATTTCTGTGCGTTTAACGTTATTTTTCCAGTTGGCAACTGATTTTAAATTGTGCAATTTATTTTTAGCTGACTCCCAAATATGAGAAAACGTTTGCATTCAATAATGATTTTCCTGCAATGTTGGAAGATGCACCTAATCCACCAGAAAATGAAGATGAACTATTCTTGATGGCAGGTGCTCAGGGCACTTGCAGAGTCATGTGCTTTCACCCAAAATCAAATGTAACGATTGCTCTTATGAAAGTAGATGAAATAAAAGAAGTTATCAAACAGTAAGTCATTACTTATCATTTTTTATTTAGTATTTTAAACAATTATTCGTAATTAAAAAAACTTTGTGTCAACCAGGTGGATAAATGAAATGTTAGAACTCGGCAAAAAATGGACGTGGATCCAAATTTTTGAAAATCGAGGGGCATTGATGGGTTGCAGCAATGCACATCCACATTGTCAAATTTGGGCAAGTTCATTTTTACCCAATGAACCTCGAATAAAAGACAAACATCTAAAGGAATACTACGATCAGCACAAAGTACCATTACTCTACAAGTACATGAAAAGAGAGCTTGCCAAAAAAGTACGTATTTAAAATAATGTAAATCCTTATTTCATCAAGAACCAATATGTTAATTAGGCGATTTATTTTCAGGAAAGACTAGTCCTTCAAACTCACCACTGGATCGTTGTCGTTCCCTATTGGGCTGTTTGGCCTTACGAAACAATGGTTTTACCAACAAGACGTGTATCCAGGATGCAAGATCTAACAGATGAAGAGCAAGAATCACTTGCCGTCATCATGAAAGTGTTGTGTACGAAATATGATAATTTATTCAAGTGTTCATTCCCCTACTCGATGGGTTGGCATGGTAAGTACAAATCACCCTTAAAATTCCCGAGAAAGAAATTAAAAGTCATTTTGAACAGGTGCTCCGACCGGTCCAAATGCCCCTGAGGATTGCAGTCATTGGAGTTTTCACGGAATTTATTACCCACCATTGCTTCGATCAGCAACCATAAAAAAACACATGGTTGGTTACGAACTTTTGGCTCAAGCTCAACGAGATTTGACACCTGAGCAAGCAGCCGAGAAATTGCGTGATGTACCCCTGAATCACTACAAATATCCAGAAACTAGTTTAACGTATGAAGATGTTACACAATATATTTAATTGATAACATAACAAATATATATCTTTGTTTTGTAAAATTAAACGAAATTATTTTTACAACTGTGATATGTACATACATAATTAATCAATAAATTGGAAATTCGGAATCTATATGGTAAGTCCATGCGTGAATTCCTCCAGTAATATCCTTGATTTCGATATTTAAATCTGAAAAGTGATTCTTTAAAAATCTCACTGCCTTTTGGGAATCATTTCCGCGTCGACATATAACAAAAACTGTAAGGAAATCAAGACACATAATTGTGATGTTATCAGTAAAATTTCAGTGAGTAATGAAGATGGAGAGAAAATTACCCGATGATAATTTTGAGTCAGCATCATCAATATGTTTTTTCAAGTTATTTAAACCACTTTCACGGCTAATTGTTGTCAACGGAATATTGATTGCATCTCTCAAGTGACACATTTCAAATTCCTCAGCAGACCGGACATCCACCAGTAAATAATCCTTTAAAGGTAGCTTAGAAAAATCATCATATTGATAAACACTTATTCTTTCGCTCGAATCCAATATTTTTAAATTTGGATTTTTATCATTTGCTTTTGCTCCGCAGAATTCTTCATAATCGATCAACGCGTCTATCGTGGGATTACTACCACATACTGAACATGCAGGATTTCTCGATCTCAATTTCAAATTTTTAAATACCATATCCATCCCATCAAACATCAATAATCTCCCTGAAAGAATCCCAGGTAATCCTAAGATAACTTTTATTGCTTGCAGTGCTTGCATAACTCCAATAGTTCCAACCACTGCAAAAAATTTAAAATATCGTTCAGCTGTAAGTTTATTGAAAATTTTGTTAATTTAATTTTTACCCGCTCCAAGAACGCCACTGTCTCCGCAGTTGTTAACTGCCTCTGGTGGAGGTGGTTTTGGAAATATACATCTATAACAAGGCCCGGAGTGATTGTACACAGTTAGTTGGCCTTCAAATTGTAATGCCGATCCAGAGATCAATGGTTTACCACTGATGACACAGGCATCATTTAATAAATAACGAGTGGCAACATTGTCGGTAGCATCCAAAATCACATCGTACTGCTTTATGATGTCTAAAGCGTTGCTGCTGTTAATTTGAAGTCTGTATGGAGTAATTTTGATGTTTTCATTCAATCTAAAAAAATAATAAAGCGTAAAAAATAATAACAACAATGTACAGCAAATATTTTATAGAACAAACAAAGACACACCTTTCAAGTTTGTCTTTGACAGCTCCAACTTTGGATGTTTCAATGTCCAATTTTGTGAAGAGTAATTGTCTATGAAGATTTGTAATTTCTACATCGTCATAATCAACGATGCCGATGTGTCCAACACCTGCACCAGCCAAATACAGAGCAGACGGGCATCCGAGCCCTCCTGCTCCAACAATCAGTGCAGATGCATTTTTTAGCTTTACTTGGCCTGTATTTAAAAAATTGTTAAAGTACATTCCTTTTTAAATCCTACAGTTTATGTGATAACATGTAGTACTACTATTTAGCTGTAATAAATCACAAACCTTTGACTCCAATGTCCGGTAGTAAAATCTGCCTACTGTACCTTGAAATTTCTGCATTGCTTAGCCCATTTTCTTGTAAAATTTGATTTTCGCGTTGCAATTCGGCGAGTTTTTCCTCCTTTTCTTTTAAGCTCTTTTTCAACCTATTTATTTCAAAAAGTGCCTCCTCGCACATTTCAATTTATTTATATTATTACAGTAATAATAATTATAGCATATGCTTTTTATTTAATGCGCAAACGAAACACAATTTACTGGATTAATTTTATTTAGTCAAATTATTTTATCGCAGAACACATTGTTCGAACAGCAACACAACAGCTGATCGGAGCAGAAGTCATGATGTCGCTGCGGGCGTTTTTGTGTATGTAAACATGATGTAAACACTCCACGTTGTAAACATTGCTCCGAAATCTTGCGGAAAAACAATTCTTTGATCGACGATATTATACATGCACATAAAAAATCGTATAACGCAGGTGTAAATATAGATTATCCACATATAATCCTATTGTTTAAAAATTTCGCATTTTATTTTAGTTTAGAAACCTATGAATATCCTTATTATATTGCT